CTAAACTCTGGAACAGCCTTGCTGATATTGTTCGGGGCTCAGACACACTCTCTCTGTTTAAATGTAGAGTAAAGACACATTTCTTAAGCCAAACATTTACATAATTCATCTAATAACCTTGTACTCCAGTTATATCTAATCAAATGTATATTATCATTCCTTGCTTGAAATGTTATGAACAGCAGCTACGCTAATTATTCTCTATCTGCTTTTCTGTTTCTGCCACAAGATGGGAATCCCAAGGTAACTAGAGATTACACAAGATTCAGTCTGGATCCAGCCTCTTATGAAGATTTGAGATGACCCAACACCTGAGTAGAGATGACGCCAACCCTCCAAGGACTTCAGATAACCAACCTTGAACCGATATACAAAACTACCACATTGTCCTTACATTACTATCATTATGAACACAACATATAATCATTGTTGTTAATCATGTTCACCATCTGTTTGAATGCATGTCATTAACTAACTGCATGATTTAAAGAACTGTACATCTCTGCCATATGGATATCACTTTGACATAGTCACCACTGATAAATTGCTCTTAACTGCAATGTAGAAACATTCTTTTTCTGTGAAGCTGCATTGCAACGATGTGTATCATGAAACACATTATACAAATAAAAATGAATTGAAAGAAATGTGAATTGAATTTCGAGATTCTGCTATTCACTGTCAATTACCAAAATAGTTTGTTAGTGAGCGCCACTAAGTTGAAATTTTATGTAACAGCAGCATCTCCGCATGTGACAAAAAGCACAAATCTTATTGGCTGGCCAGTGTTTTTCGCAGTGAGATTGAAAAGAGAGAACACTTTTCCAACATTCTCCATAATTAATAATTATATTTTAGAATACATTTTTGTAATTAATTAATTAATGTATTTATTTATTTATTTGCACCGACAGCATGCAAATGTCTGTGTTGATCTGAACAGATACTGTACTAACAGCCGCTCATGCAAATTAAGGCACAGTCATATTTTTGTGAAATTTTGCAGACACTGTCCACTGTCAATAGTTTCACAATGCATGAAGCACCATTTACTCAGAGGTCACTTGAAACCCAGCAGCTTTATATTGGTAAACACTGTGAATTTGCATGTTAAAAATTCAAATTTAAACCAGCTGTGAAATTTGTATGGGAACATTTGTGGGTAATATCCCTTATGTGAAATTCCAGAATGCTGAAGACCAGAAATGCAAGCTCATGTGAAGAAGTTTTGCATTAGGCTGCTTTCCAAAATTCAAGTTTGAATGTGTGTCTAACAGAAGATCAATACGTCACGTGACCTCTTAGCAGAATTAAAAGAACACAAACTTTAAAGCTACAGGTTTGCAGCATTGCAGGAAGATGAAGTAGAGCGTATATTTTTAAATTTAGTATTTATTATTGGTTATATGCTGATTTTTTTTTTTTTTTTTTTAAAGACACTACAGAGTATGATGTCATATCACAACCATTTCAAGAAATTTAGCATGCTCAAAGTCTAGTGTAACCAACACTTAATTCACTCATGGTATTGCACCATACAAAGCTAAATGTGACACTTTTAAAATGCATATAGCAGTGAATTTCTGCACCAAAAATTTGTCTAGGTGTGAAAAGACCTTTACGTTTAAACCTTACTTTTCATGTAGTGCATATATCCTAAATCCGACAGGCATCATTTACACTTTTATTTCAAATATTTAGTTCTGGATCTTTATCTGCTCATTATTGGTAAAAAAAAAAACTTATGAAAAAGTATGCTAAAATCTGACTACATCATTAATGCATTAACTATTAGTGTGAACAGAGCATTTACAATTAGACTTAATCCTTAATAAAAGAAACTCACAACTGTTACATGCTCTTGTAAACAGAACAGTTGCATTAGATATGCACATTCAGATGTATTCTCACTTGACTGCCCACCACATAAATCAATGAATCCCCTGCTAAGTTGTCTCTAAATGTTAGAAGTCATACTAAATGAGAACAGTGATGAAATCAGATGGTGCCATAGCATGCAGGTCCACACAGCATTATAGAGCTCGAATCAAAGTATTATCTCTTGCTCCATTCAGCAGCTGTCAATCTACCAGACAGCTGTCACTCAGCACTAATCTATTGTGTGGGAATTAACAAGTCCCGCCCTTCCCTTTTATTCAAACCACCTCAAATACACTTCCAGATAAAGCAGACTACTTATTTCCGATACTAAGTGTCTGCATTGATTTTAAAATCGTAACTGCAGTGGAAAAATAATTTCCAATAATAGGAAATGGTGTACCTGAAAAAATACAATCTATTATTTATGATACACACCTCTGTTTTAAGAACGATGTAATTTTCACTTCCCTTTCTATTGTGGCTTGGTGCCTTCGAAAATAGGCCAAGGTCAATTTTCAGATCCTTCCAGTAAATCATTTACAAAAACAAAAATCAAGCTTGAAACCTGCCACCCTCCAGAAAAGCAGAATGAAAACATCACAGCATATTTTCTTTTAATATATGCCAATCTGCTAATTTATTTGATCCCTTGATGCCCTCTGTGCTTGATCTTAAGCACAAAGGCTGTGATTTGATACGAATTCACTGAAAATCAATTTGCAATGTTTGTAAGAAAAGTATTAATGTCTGATTAATTAACAAAACGTTCAGAACAGGTTCAGATGATTCATGGAAAAGATTTGAATCAAGAGATTTCAGTTGTATGAACCACTATTATGATACATCTGTGGTGCTTTTGGAATCTTTTTTTTTGACCAGTACAATTCTTTTTTTGTTCCACAGAAGACAGAAAGTCAAACAGTTCTGAAACAACACAACACATTTTTGATTTAAAGGAATAGTTCACCCAAAAATTAAAATTAGTTGAAAATGTACTCACCCTCAGGCCATCCATAATGTATTCTTCATCAGAATAATAGTCGTCCTCTCACACCAAAATTCACCGACATATCTGTTTAGAATAGTTTTGGACTGTTTTCGCTTGTAAACGGTGCTTGATCTGTGCATATTTCTCTCCTGATTCAGACAAAATGACTTTTTCACTGGAGAAAGCAATATTATGGATAGAGGACATTTTTGCGGAAGAAACTTTGAAGTTTAAAATGTAAATCCAGCCTTGTTTATTATAAACATAGCTTTTCACTTCACATGGCATTAACTGGTGGTTTGGAATCATGTGGGTTACTTGTGGATTATAGTGATATTTTTTTCAGCTGTTTGGACTCTCATTCTGACGGCACCCATTCACTACAGAGGATCAATTGGTGAGCATGTGATGACAAGTACAAACTCATCTTGGATTTGAACATTTTTATTTTTGGGTGAACTATTCCTTTAAGGATGAACTATCGCATTAATCACAAAAACTAACTAGAACTGATATGACCTAAACTAACTCACAACATAGAATGTGGTGGGATTCAGTCTAAACTTACCAACTTAACACCAAGAACTACAACTGCGTTAAAATTATTACCAAAGCTCCAAATTTCCATCAGTATGGTGTACATCCACACAGCAGATTATGAGCTGGTCATGCAAGCCAGCGTGTTTCCTGATAAGGTTACGGATAACTACAGGGAACAGGGCTGGCGTGGGAGAACTTTCAAAATCCTGAAACTAACACCACCGTTGAAAGGTCAATCAGAGAAAGATCCATGCTGAAAGCCCTACCAGGGCATCAGTGACCTTTCTTTCAACTCCAAATGCCACTGAAATGCTGTGAAACAAACATAACCCTTCACATGCTGAACATACAGAGCAAACATACATGTGCCTTTGCTTTTGAGTTGTTCCTAAGCAGAGTAGTTTTGCACATTCAATGGAAAACTGAAAATTAGTATATCAAATATTATTTTAGACATAAATTCCTTAAAATAAATAAAGAAAAGAACTACACAATTCATCAAATATGCAACGGAGAATGCTTTTCAATAATCAATAATCTTGAGTATTTATATGTGTAAATATTCTTGTCAATTTTGGTTGGTCATTGATTATTTAAAGCTTGTCTCTGTAGTAATTCCCCAAAAACTCAAAAAATGTATTCTGACGAAACATGAGTTCTTTCACCTTTTACTGCATGCATGAGTGCTGAGTGAATCACTCAAACTGGTTTAGCATCAGTCGGTCCCCCTGGGCTGTGATTCAGTCTCTATTAATTCCAGGCCAGTAGCTAATGGGTAAGAGTGTGTTTTTTCCCTGTACTCTTTGAGTTGGGCTGTTTCTTTTCTTCTGAGTTTCTATGCCTTATTAACAGCAATGACCCTAATTCAAATGCCCATCTCCTGTGGCTTTCTGCAGGCATTTATATTTGGAATGGAAGACTGAGAATGTGACTAATGCTCATAAAACAGTATTTCCAAACATTATGTGTCAAGACAACTAGTCTGACAAGTAAGGCAAGTTTTTTTTTTTTTTTTATGTATCACTGGTGTTTGGTACGGCAGGCATGATTATTTTTATTGCTCATTCCTAGGGCTAGGGATTTTAACAATCGTCCTGTTTGAGCTACGATTTTGTGAATGCAATGAAGTCAACGGGGTCTTCATGCAATAGCCAAAAATACATTGTATGGGTCAAAATTATAGATTTTTCTTTCATGCCAAAAATCATTAGGTTATTAAGTAAAGATCATGTTCCATGAAAATATTTTGTAAATTTCCTACTGTAAATATATCAAAACTTAATTTTTGATTAGTAATATGTATTGCTAAGAACTTCATTTGGACAACTTTAAAGGCAATTTTCTCAATATTTTGATTTTTTTGCACCCTCAGATTCCATATTTTCAAATAGTTGAATCTCAGCCAAATATTTTCCTATCCTAACAAACCATACATCAATGGAAATTTATTTATTCAGCTTTCAGATGATGTGTAAATCTCAATTTTGAAAAATTGACACTTAAGACTGGTTTTGTGACCCAGGGTCACACACACAAAGAATTAGCTTACTGTTGAAATGTAGCACCAACAATTTGTCATGGCAAGTTTTGGGTCTCTAGACTCTATGGTGCACTTAAGAGATAGTCAAGAGAAAAATAAATGTAATATCTGAACTAAAAAAAATTAAAAAAATACCCCCAGACCAGAGGCTGACCAATCGTTGTAATTCCCCTGGGAAGAAAAAGTGCAGTCACAGTTATCTCCAGGACCTAGGGTAGAAAAAACCCATCTCCCATTCTTCCTCTGACGCAGCTAGTGGGGCGACTCCAGCATCTCCATTAGGAAAGTGTCAATGGGGGTGTCTCCAATCAGTTTAAAGAAGAAAAGGTGCTCCAGACACTTAAGGCCAATGGAACGCAATGCAGGAAGTCGGAGAAGGAGCTTGGCAAACCTGTGAATTAGCAAGGGAGCTGATTTTTTTTTTATGGCCTCTTCTATACTCTCACATCCATATGTGACGATAACGCCAGTCAATCATAAAAGAGGTCGTTTACATGTAGTAGATTTAAAGGCACAACACAAGTTTAATTCTGAGGGTCAGAGAGACAAAATTTTAGAAAATTCGCCCCATAACAGTACAGAACACTCACCTCCCCTGCTGATCTGGGTATTTTTGTTTGCAATAGGCCTCCAGGGACGCGTACACTTTCTCTCTGAGAAGCTCCACCTCACTGCTGCTAGTCAGACCTTTGGCATCTAAGAAATATTGGAAATATTCAGTACAAATATACACCATTCTTTGGGTTTTTCTCCAGTTTTGATGTCAAAGGTGTGCATAATATATGTTCTGCCTGTGAAGGTGTTTACATGCATAGTCAGTTTAAAGTAATGGGCCAATATTTAGATGTGCAAGTCAGGTTTTGCCTAAACTGTTTATGACCTTAACCTGATAATATAACTGTTTTAAGGTATTGATACGACACATTGTCAGGTTATTATAGGTACAATGCATCTAAAAATAAAAAATCCTGGCATCATGTTAGTTGGGCCCACATTGCCCCCCCCCCCCAATGACTTTCACTGTATGGACAAAAAATGTTGTACATTCTTCAGGATATCTTTTTTATATATACCAAAGATGTAAGAAAATTTTGGAACAAATTAGGTATAAGTAAATGATGACAGAATTTCCATTTTTGGGTGAAATTAAAGGAGGTACCTGAACCATATCTAGAAACCAGTGGCTGGTTGCATTTTGACTAGTCTTACAAGTCAGTCATTTAATTGTTTTTATTTTCTTTAGGACTGGCAATAACTTTTTTTATGCCAGTTACAGTAAAATGTAGGTCTAATTTGAATCCTAAAAGTAAGACTGATTACTCCTAGACTACTGCTAGTTTGTCAGACTAGTTCTTAAGACTTCATGCAACTGGCCACAGACTTGCAAATGGACTCTTCAACTTAGCCCAGTAAACCAACACCTAGAAACCACCCAAAACACCCTAGCAACCACATAGCATTACGACAAGGGGAACGCAAGATGACTTAAAGGGATAGTTCAAAATTTGGAACAACTTCAGGGTGAGTGAATGACAGGATTTCCTTTTTCTTTCTTTCTTTTTTTTGGGGGGTGAACTATCCCTTTAAAATTATTTAAAATAAACAAAAAATGCAATAAAATAAGCTAAAACAACTAAAAATAAAGATGTATAGCCTTAAAAGTGTGATTTCTAGACCTGGACAAATCATGTAAAATTATAAAATTTTATAACCCCAAGGGCATTTTTATAATACATATACTTATACATATATTTCTAGCTCTAAAATATTTTAGAAATTGTAAGCAAAAAAAATATATTTTTAAAAATCCTTATCCTTAATAAAAAATTGAAAAGTCATGGGGCCTTCAAATATTGTTGTGGACAATAAGGGGCCTTGGAGTCAAAAAGGTTGAGAATCACTGACTTAGAACATCCTAGAAACTGCACAGCAACCCCCTGTAATTTTTTTCCCTCCGAAATGTAAAAATTGAGTTCTACATTCAAACTCTTTCATAAAGGGACATAGTTTTGCATGATAAACTGCAAGTAATACTGCATTCAATCCAACTAAATCCAAGCAGAGTAAAATGTCAGATCTTCTGTGCATCATCTGCCCTTAGGACTCCATAAACTGTGATGTAACAGTATGCCGTTCCACATTAAAGGCAAATGTGCATGTGAGATCAACACGGGCTGACATGGTTTAGTCAAACTAATTACATTACATGCCTTTGATGGAATTGTTATCATTCATTTAATCTACAAGAAAAACACTTTTCACAAGAAACAATTTGTTGTTGTTCTTCAAATATTTGTGCATGCTGAATGATTTAATGCAGCCTGTGGTTAGGGACTTCTTTACAAGCTGACCATATTAGGAACAAGAACTCAGCTGCAGGTCAACTCTGAAAAGTCATTTTGTTTATAAACATTCTAAATGTGGCTAACAGTTTCATACATCTGCTGCTTTTCTTTTTGGTCCTTGTGATGCTGATATAAGCACTTTGGTTGAATCCATCCAGGTGCATTCAGTTTCTGATCATCATTCCCATGGGAATGGAGCTAGCATACAAACTCAGAAGTTATTGCATGACCACTTCTCAAGATGAACTGATAATGTACAGCAAAAAAAAAAGCCTTTTATGCATTTAACATGTAACATCTGTGTCTTTTATTGTGAATAACACAATAAATTCCAGCTAATGCTAAACTTCTCAACTGAATTTACATTAAGAATAGCGATAGCGAAAAATAGAGACCCAACCAGTATTTAATGCAGTCTGGGTTTTCTTTTACCTACCATTTCAAAGTGCACGACCATGTTAGCATGTGCCTAATTTGGCTATTTTATACCAAGTGACAGATTCATTTGCATCAAAATACCACAGACTATGAGTGAATACATAACCTCTGACATCAACAACAAGATATATGAGAAGTATTTTTTCCCTTATCAGCCTGTTTATTTAGCTACCCTAACCATGCATGATTACATTTCACAAAACGTTTGGATGTTATTTTTAGCATTTAGCTTTGTTTTATCCATAACTCTATCAGAAAAGACTAATTTTAGTCAGTTTAGAACAATTGCTGTTAACCATTACTCATTTTTGGATTACACATTGGATATGTCCCATCTGTAGTACAAAGTTTTGTGACTCTAGGTTTGGCCCATTTATGATGACATGAAATAAAAGAAGGAACTCTAATCTAGGATTTGTTTAAGCTTTTAGAGTACTTGATAGAGTAGAGGACTAATATTTCATGGGGCTTGTGATGCCCTGTCCGTGGGCCAGTTGGTACACTCTAAAAAATGCTGGCTTGTTTCAACCCAACTTTGGGTCAAGTATGGACTAGCCCAACCGTTGGGTTAAATTTTTACCCCAAAAGTTGGGTTAGTCCATATTTGACCCAAAGTTGGGTTGAAACAACCCAGCATTTTTTAGAGTGTAGTGGGTAGTCGTTTTGCAGGATGGGGGTGGAGGACAGTGGCAGGAGGGCTTTCTTTGTGTGATACAATGACATATGGGGTCTTCATTTCAACAGCCCCCATCCCCCTCACTCATAAGAGACACCCCATGAGACAAATATACCATCAATCAATCCCAGGACCATAAGAGCAGGACGTAGTTGGGTCTGCTGCCGACAGGAAATGAAGGAGGGGATCTGATTACAGCCTCAATGGGGGCTGTTCATTTTTAGCACCAACATCACATCATGAAGATTACAAAAAGATCACTGTTGGGATTCATCCAGTCATGATGCACTCTTAAAAAATTTTTAAAGTTGTCACTGGTGTGGTACCCTTTCAAAAGGTACTAATAAGTAGCATTTAGGTACCAATATATACACTTCAGGTGCTAATATGTACCTTTAAAGTACTATTATACTCCCTTTAGGGGTAAATAAGGTACAAAGATGTACCATTTGAAAGGATTACATCCCAGTGACAGCTTTTGTACCTTTTTTCTGAGACTGTGTGATATTATGCCATACTAGTGTGTACAATTTACATTGTAGGCTACTTCTTTATGGTACAGTTAAACAAATGTTAAAAAAATATATTAAATTATTTTTGAAGTTATAAATAAAACAGATTATTGGAGTAGCTTTTACAATAAAATAATATTTCATGTTAATACATACATGTTTGTCACATAAATGTCATGTTTTATTCAATGCGTTCCTTGCGGTTTCCTATTTCAGTGTACAATTTAAAGTAGAAGACGGTGCAAAAGCAGCTAGATCCTGTTTAAAAAAAGGATTTACATGACAAAAAAATATTTAGAGATTAAAATATGCTTCTTTAATTAGAAAGGCAAATTTGGAAATATACAAGTTGTGAAACATACTGCAGAAAACCACTAATTATAGATGTTGAAACTAAATGTGTTGCAACACCCCTTGGTCTCCCCTACAAATTTTCATAAGCGCCTTTATCGTGGCAGGATGCCATGTGCTTCCCAGTGTCAGAGCTCAAGCATCTCTCTCTCTTCACATCCACCATCACAAAGCCCAGTGACTGTGAATGTTTACTGTTTTCCAGAAGCCTGTTAGCGTCCCAGAGCTCTCCATGTAAGGCAGCAAGTGCACCAACAAGTCTTGACCGCATCTTTAAGAATTTAAGATCGGCCTCCTGATCTTGCTGCTCATGGGAACTGGACCCTCTGAGGGGGAAAAAAATCCCCTCCATCCTAAAATAGCCTAAGACACAGGAATGTGAACTAATTGGATGTAAATTGTTAGCATTTTTGCATATCAGACATGTTTACTTGTCTTGACCATGTCTAGTTTTTCAAGCCTCCCAGGAGAACGGGACAAGTAGCCTGATGTAGGCTAACTATGTGTGCTAAATCAGCGGAGTAAACGTATAAAGACCATTTAGGGATGCAAATCCCATGTCAAAGTGTGAGGTAAAAATCTTCACAACTTACTTTTGTGGTCTTAAAGATTTGATAAGAAGAATTACATAGTTCATTTAGGCATTACTACCCTTGACATATGACACTACAAGATGTTTATTACAATAAGAATAAAATAGTGATATTAGTGATATGAAATAGTGATTAAAAAGAGTAGAGTTTACATCCTGTAGGTTTGTCATAAAGTTGGAATTTTATATAATTTTAGTAAGGAGGAGTTATGGACATGTAAATATAGATAGAGATAGAGATATACAGAGAGAGAGTATAAATACAAAATACTAGCTTGTATAATACACACACACACACACACACACACATCCCCTCCATCCTAAAATAGCCTAAGACACAGGAATGTGAACTAATTGGATGTAAATTGTTAGCATTTTTGCATATCAGACATGTTTACTTGTCTTGACCATGTCTAGTTTTTCAAGCCTCCCAGGAGAACGGGACAAGTAGCCTGATGTAGGCTAACTATGTGTGCTAAATCAGCGGAGTAAACGTATAAAGACCATTTAGGGATGCAAATCCCATGTCAAAGTGTGAGGTAAAAATCTTCACAACTTACTTTTGTGGTCTTAAAGATTTGATAAGAAGAATTACATAGTTCATTTAGGCATTACTACCCTTGACATATGACACTACAAGATGTTTATTACAATAAGAATAAAATAGTGATATTAGTGATATGAAATAGTGATTAAAAAGAGTAGAGTTTACATCCTGTAGGTTTGTCATAAAGTTGGAATTTTATATAATTTTAGTAAGGAGGAGTTATGGACATGT